TCATCTTTTAAGATTTTAAATAGTTCAACTGAAATGCCATCACCTCCACTGGCCTTGCTGTTAGCCATGCTTTCTAAGGCCCACTTGACTTCACTCTTCAGGATGTCTGGCTCAAGAACAGCAACCACATTAACTGGGTTGTCCGGGACATCCACATCTTTCTGGTATAGTTCCTCCATGTATTCTTGCCACTTCGTCTTGATATCTTCTGCTTCTGTGAGGTCCCTTACCATTTTTGTCCTTTATCACGTCCATCTTTGCACAAAAGGTTCCTTTAATATCTCCAATTTTCTTGAACAGATCTCTGGTTTTTCCCTTTCAATTATTTTCCTCTATTCCTTTGCACTTCGTTTAAGAAGGCCCTCTTGTCTCTCCTTGCTATTCTTTGGAAGTGTGCATTCAATTTTCTGTAACGTTCCCTATCTCCCTTGCATTTTGTTTCCCTTCTCTTCTCTGATATTTGTAAGGCCTCGTTAGACATCCACTTTGCTATCTTGCATTTCCTTTTCCTTGTAATGGATTTTGTTGCTGCCTCCTGTACAATGTCACGAGCATCTATCCATAGTTCTTCAGGCACTCTGTCCACCAACTCTATTTCCTTCAATCTGTTCTTCACTTGCACTGTGTATTCATAAGGAATTTGGTTTAGATTATACTTGACTAGCTCAGTGGTTTTCCCTCCTTTCTTCAGTTTAAGCTTGAGTTTTGCTATAAGAAGCTGATGATCAGAGCCTCAGTCAGCTGCAGCTCTTGTTTTTGCTGACTGTATAGGTTTCTTTACCCAATGTAATATTTCTTTTTCCTGTGCTGGCCTTTTGAACCTCCTGATGAACTGCCTCTAAAGAAGAAGCAATTGTTGTAGAAGAAAAAACTACAGAATGGCTGAACAATTTCTTTCCTTTAGTACAGTGGTTCCCAACCTTGGGTGACCCAGGTGTTCTTGGACTGTGATTCCTACCTTCACCACTAGCTGTGCTGGCCAGGGTTTCTAGGAGTTGCGGTACTCGTACAAGAACAGCTGGGTTACAGAAGTTTGGGAACTACTGTACTGATTTGGAAGGTGAGGATGCGAGATTACGCCAGAACTCCACCACTGTAGTTTTGTTTTCAACGATATCCTCTCGTCTTTCTGTCTCAAATATAATTATCCATAGTTTGTGTACAGAGCCATCATATGTTTGCTGGCTCATAGTGCTGGGCTTCTAAAGAGAAATGCTGTGCGAATTTAGCAATGTAGCACTCTAATTAATTTCAACTTTGAAGATGAGGGTCTTCAGGGTGTACATGATGGCCACACTGCAGCTGAGAGCTTGACATGGGGAAAATGTCTTTAAAGGCCGGAATTCATTCTCTACAAAACCAGTGGAGAAATTTTAATTTATTATACCTAGAAATCCATATTGGGTTAGTTCTTACAGCTGAAGTAAAATATATTGTTTTATCTCATACCAGGATGAGTACAGCAACATTCCCATCTCCAGCTGCCGAAATAGCTGAAATGAATCGAATTCAGTATGAAATGGAATATACAGAAGGGATCAGCCAGAGAATGAGAGTTCCAGAAAAACTCAAGGTTGCTCCCCCAAATGCTGACCTTGAGCAGGGTGCCCCTGAAGGAGGGCTTCCAAATGCAAGTGTAACAATGCAAGTGCCAGAACGTATTGTTGTAGCAGGTATGTTTATTTTTGTGGGAAAGGAAGTGGTAAAATATGTGGTCAAACTCTATGTGTATGTGTTGTTGTAACAAAAATACAATTTCAAAATGGTATCTGCATTCAGTCATTAAATTAGTTTCTGGGTTCCCTCTGGCTGTTTGCACACCTAAAGTGAATTTTACTTTAGGGTTGTTCTGAGGGTAAAGCAGAGAGAAGAAGGCGATGTGAAATGTTATGAGTTCTTTGAAGGAATCAGTGGAGAAATATGTACTTAACAGTAATAGTAATAATAAAGTAAATTTAAAAAATAATCAATCCAGAATCAATGGATTTACTGTATAAATTACATCCAAATAGTTTGAGATAAATCTGGAAGAAGCAATCAGATATTATCTATCTCTTTATGCTATGTTTATGCTATGTTTCAGTGTCTGAAAAAACATCCTTTGGCTCATTTCATTATTATGTTCTTCTTTGTTACATAAAAGTTCCTGCAGTATTGAATGAATGCGCATGCAATGTTTGCTTGATATGTTTTTTCAAAGTTCTAGTGACTTCATTCAACAGGAAGGAGATAGCTCACTGTATATAAGATGCCTGTCTGCATATATAGTTGTATAATCATCATCTACAAAAGCATAAGAAGATATTTCATATGCTTTTATAGTATGGTGAGTCTTAGACTCACTGGAACTCAGATCCTCCACAGGGACGGAGGCGGTTTAAAATGGTCTGCCCCAGGAGGCTGATGGATCTGAATGGTTTCCTAATGGCTCTTGGAGAGTTATGTCACCTTGTCTGGCAATTCTGTGAAAGTCCTGGTTGACATCTGGAATGAGGAAATATCTTGTGCTGTAGACATCATCACTCTTTAACATCCCTTTGCATGAAGCCCTCTCCCCGTTTAACAGGGAGTTGGTGATGATGAAATAAGTGGGACAGAGACTAGAGTGACAGTGGCTCAAAACTTGGAGTAAATCTAACCAAATATTAGCTAGAGCCCATTTAAAAGCTATTATGTGGCAGTGGCTATAGTGAAGAAATGCTTCTCTGCTGCTGTTACGTCTGTACAGAGCCATCCAATGAGGCAGTGTCTAGTGGTCAAAGGCCTGTTACGTGCTCAGCCACCAGAGCAAGATGGTGACCACTCATCAGCCTGCTGTGATGAATTTGCACAGCATTTTGCAGGTATTTGGATATATTTTGACTTTGAAGCTGTAGCTGATACAGGTCCTGTGGATGTACTGTTCGCCCCTGCTTGTCCTGTTTTATTGGATACATTTCAGTCTCCTCTCACAGCCTGAGGATGTGGACAAGATCCTCGGAGAGGAGGAAACAATCACATGTATGTTGGATCCTTGCTTTTCCTGGGTTATAAAAGCAGCAAGAGGGTGACTGGCTGAGTGGATAAGAAGAGTGCTAAAAGCATCACGGCAGCAAGGCAGGTTGCCAGAATATTTCAAAGAGGCCTTTGTAAAACCTCTCCTGAAAAAACCCTCCTTGGACCCACTATATTAGAAAGATATGGGCCAATTTCCAATATAATTTTTGGACAAGGTCCTTGAGTGTATGGTGGCTTCTCAACTTCAAGAGTTCCTGGATGAAACAGATTGCCTGGATCCTGTTCAATAAGTCTTCAGGCCCGATTACAGAACAGAAATAGCTTTGATCCACTATTCCAAGAACTGAACAAGGTGAAAGTAAACGTGTTGGTTGTATTGGACCTCTTAGCAGCTTTTAATACCATTGATCATGGTCTAGATAATCTCTCAGGTATGGGGCATAGTACAGTGGTGCTCCACATAGCGACGATAATCTGTGCAGCAAAAATCGCTGCAAAGCGATTTCGTCGCTATGCGATATTAAAAAGCCCATAGGAATGCATTAAAACCCGTTTAATGCGTTCCTATGGACAAAAAACTCACCTTTAAGTGAAAATCCTCCATTTTCGCTGCCCGGTAAGTGAGGAATCTGGGCAAAAACACAGCAGGCGGCCATTTTTTTAACCCGGTGGCCATTTTGGAACCGCCGATCAGCTGTTGGGAAATCATCGCTATGCGATGATTGGTAAGCGAAACAGCATACCGATCATCACAAAGCGATTTTTTACCATTAAAAACATCGCAATGCGATCGCAAAAACGATCGCGAAAAGTTCATTGCTATACGGATTCGTTGTTAGACGGGGCACCCGTTAAGCGAGGCACCACTGTATGTCTATGTTTAAAATATAGTATATCTAAAACATAGTATGTTTTTGTTGTTGTTTAGTCGTTAAATCGTCTCTGACTTTTCGTGACCCCAGTGGCTCTATTCCTTCCTTACACTTCGTGACCCCAGTGGCTCTATTCCTTCCTTGAAGGTGATCTCAAAAGGTGGTGCCGGGGGGTGGGGGACTCCTGATTGACTTCTTGGCCTTTAGTGTGTAATGTCTCCAGGGTTCTTCTTCCCCCAGGTTGTTTAACAAATGCATGAAACTGTTGGGAAACGTTGTACAGAATTTAGAAGTTGGTTTTACAAGTATCTGAATGACACTAAACTATCTTTCCTTTATGCCTAATTCCAAGGAAATTGTTTCAGTTCTAACCTAATGTCTTTGATCAGAAATGGACTAAATGAGGGCAAATAGACTAAAACAGACAAGACAGAGTTGCTTTTAGTCTATCAATGGCAGATCAGGGAATAGGGTTTCTGCCTGTGCATGATGGGATTACACTCCTCCTGACAGGTCAGGCTCAGAACTTGAGTGTACTCCTGGAATTTTTATTGAGCCTGGATGCTCAGTCTTAACATTGTCCAGGAGTACATTTGCATAATTAAAGTTAATGTGCTGGCTGTGTCTGTTCCCAGAGATGTCTGATTTTGCTATGGTTACACATACCTAGATTACATCACATTTGATGTAATTTCTCTACATGGGGTTGCCTTTAAAGATGGTTTAGAAACTTCAGCTGGTTAAAAATTCTGCAGCTAGGCTGCTGCTTGTGGCTTGTTTCATGAAGCATGTAACTCCCCTGTTACAACAGCTTCACTGTTTGCTAACCCATTTCCAGGCCCAGTTCAAACTGCTGGTTATGACTTAAAAAACTTATACAGTTTGAGTCCAAGTTATATGAAGGGCCACATTCCCAATGTGAACCTTCCCTGCTCTTTAAGATTTTCTGGTGAAGCCCTTCACTCAGTTCTACTGCCTTCACAGATTTTGTTTGATCACAAGAGATGACCTTCCCTGTGGCTGCTCTTAAGTTGTGGAATGCATTTTATTAGTAGGCTAGGTTGGATCCCTTCCTCTTGTCCTTCAGGGCACAAGTAAAGAACATCTTTTTAGACAGCTTTTAAAATAACCTATTGGGCAGTTTTGGTATTTTGGGCTAGATATTATTTTATGTGTATTTTAACAGCTAATAGTTTAAATACTTTGTATGTTCAGTTATTTTTTAATGTCATAATTTATTGTGCTTTTATTTGGTTTGTAGGTTTTTTATTAACTTGTGATTTGCCTTAGGTCCCTTAGTTGGACACGGAAAAGGAAATTAATTAATTAATTATTAAAAACCCACATTGAAATTGTGTGAGCAACATGAAATTGTGTGAGCCACACAGGCTGGCTCTTCTCCCTGGAGGCACAGAGAGAAATTAATTAATTAATTAATTAAAAACCCACATTGAAATTGTGTGAGCAGAAAAAATAAGTGATGCTAAGCTGCCTCTTTATTTTAAATTGTTCATATGTATCTAAAATACCTTGCATGTTGTGGGAGGTGACAAGATATTTTACTAAAATGTGAGGGAAGGCAAGGAGAGCAGAGTGTGACTGTGTATTTATTATGAATTCTGGCCCAGCTATTAAAAAAACTAGAGAATGACTAATTGGATGAAAACGCCTAATTGGATGAAAAAAATTAAAGAGTGGAGGAGAAAAAAACATGTGTTTAAATCTTTAATGTTGACGTTTTGGGCTAAGATAGCTGAATGCCAAGCAGGAAAAACAACTCGATTGTGAAAGCATTATTGTATTTATCAGACCATGCTGAATAATTTATTGATAACATATATTTGGTTTTAAATCTGCTATAGGCAATAGTGAAGACATTCCACTTTCCAGGCCACCAGATCTAGATCTTCTCCAGTCGACTCCATTCAAGCCTCTGTCACTAAAAACACCACCACGTGTTATTTCACTCAGTGAACGCCCACTTGATTTCTTGGACCTAGAGAGAGCCCCTGCTCAGACTCCTCAAAATGAAGAGGCTAGTATTAATATTCTTCATTTCTTCAGTTTCGTGATACTTTCTTTAGTCTTTTATTTCATAAAGAAATTGAAAGGAAGAGGAATATTTCCTGAAAATTTCTTGATCAGTGTACCATGAAACAATATGTATGAAACAATATGTATAATATCATTCCCTCAAGTCAACTCTTACTTAAATGGTGACCCTTTTTAGGGTTTTCTCAGTAGAGTATCATTCCCTTCTTCTGGGACTGGACTATGAAACTCATCCAAGGCCACACAGGCTGGCTCTTCTCCCTGGAGGCACAGAGAAGAATAGAACTCTGAATCTCTGGTACTGCAGCCTGATACGTAACTCATGGAACTATCTCTACTTAACATTAATACTCCTTATTGAATACCTCCAGTGTAGAAATTCATCAGCATCGTGGGTCAGGTGGAAACAACACATGGGGAACAGATGACATGTTTCCTATCACTGTCCTAGGACTCTTGTACTAGTTATTTCAGCGCCATGTTATCTTTTTTTAAAGCTTCCCGGGACCTTTAAACACAATTATAATACTTTTGGGATGTTTCTAATTCACCTTTTGAGGTCGTGCTTTGCTTCTTCACATTTTTAGATAGTGTTATGATCCATATAATTTGTACGTTGTATAAATTATATTCAATTTTTGATTTAGCTCTTTTAAAGAAATCTTATTTTCAAAAGCCTTTCCAGATAGTTTCTGTCAAGAAAATTGCTAATTTTAGAATTTAGAGGAAAAATAGGAACCCATTTTCCAATAACAAAATATCGCCATTCAGGAAGAAGTCTTTTTTCATGCTCTATGTTGCTCTTAAATGAGAATAATCTATTAGTAGGTGTCAGATACGTGTGGTTGCTGTTGCCATTGGGTTTAAGAAATGGCTTTCTTTGTTTTATTTCTCTTTATCTTGTTTTGCAGGTTCGTGCAGTAGGAAGGCTGAAAAGAGAACGTTCCATGAGTGAAAACGCAATGCGTCAAAATGGTCAGTTGGTCAGAAATGATTCAATGTGAGTAGTTTCTTGAAGTTTGATAAGATTTTTGAAAACATTTCCTTATGTTGCTTCTCATTTCATGTTCAGAAATTCTGATCCTCCTGATAAACTGATGTTAAAGGGTATGGTTCTTTTACTAATTTTGTTTGTGCATTCGTTTCTTCCAAATAATGAGCAATTTGTTACCAAGTGGAGAAGTCCATATCTAAAATACATTAGTAGGTCAGCTTTAAAGTTTTTTTAAAACGTAAACACACAATTAAGTTGGCTCTTATCATGATACCAAACTGGAAATTATTCAACTAACAGCAGTGTATAATGTAAAAAAAAATGCAAATAAGGTTTCTTGAAAACCTTATAGCTGTATGTATCAAGGTATCTAACCCATTCTGTGGTATATTTTCACAGGAAACAATTATTTGTTTGGGGGAATTGACAATTTTTTATTGTCTAGTTTTGACAATAATTATTATCTTTGTTTTGTACTATGTGTACTGTGCTTTTTAATATTTCTCTCCTGTTTCTGTCAATAATTTTGTTTGTAAAATATATAGATAATTAATTTTTTGCATGTGAATGGAAGTATTTCTACTTGTTATTTTATCCAAAGGAATCTTCTCTTTTAGTGTGCATGCTGAGAATGACAACTGTTACATTATCAGTTGTACAAATGGATGTCACAGTATGAGACTGTTTTTCATAATTCTAAATTCTGGTTGCACATAATTTTGGATAGCAAGGTTTTTTTTAAAATAAGTTTTCTCTAAGTAATATAAACTGTTTATTCAGATTCCGCTCACTAGACTGAAGGGGAAAAAAAGGCTTTTTCTGTTTTCCTTCTTGCTTTTAATTGTTTGCTTTTGGGAGGAGGGGAACCAGGATGAATAGAAAAAGGTTGGGGGAACAATACTTGTCTCCCCACCAAGAAAAAAACAAACCCAAACAGTGTGCTGGCAGAATAAAGGGATCAGAGAAAGAGGCCTGGCTGCTTCTAGTGCCTGTTGGAACTAACAGTTACTTCTTGTTTTGTGAGGATTCTTGACCTGTTGTCTCATGTAGCCCCATTACTTTCAAAAGGTAATTAGATCACATATGTAACCAAATTCGGATATGGGGATGCCCTTCTTTACCAGTCACAACACTTTATCGTAATGGCTTCCACAAAGTCCTGTTTAGAGCTAAAGGACCATGCGGAGGGAAAGTAGGTACCTTTAAGTTGATCATTGCCACCCAAATAACACGCAGATCAGTCATCTGATTACATCCTTTCCTACTGTGTTGTGGTATATTTTATTTAAATCATAGTGAATATTTCTAAATTTTCCACATGCACTAGTACATGCAGATTTATTGCACATTTCTTCTTTTGTTGTGTCTTTTGGTTGGCTGTGGCATTTCCTGTCAGTGGCACCTACAGGTGGGAGGGATGACAGTCAAAACACTTGAGCACCAAGCTCCTCAGAGACTGAATTGATAAGGGCGTTGCTTTATAGTACTTTTCTCATAGTATTAATTCCCAGTTGTCTGCTTCCAGTTTTCTTTCCTTTTTCCTTTCTTTTCCTTCCCTTTTTCCTTCCCTTTCCCCTTTACTTTTTAATTTGTATCTTGCTTTTCCACATTTATCTATTGACCAAAGTAGCTCTAGATGTATGATATGTTAATGCTCTTTAAGTTCTGCTAATTTTGCAACGTTTTCGTAATGCTCATTCAGTTCTCCTCTTTGGAAGATATGTATACATGCCTATACTACCGTCAGTGCAGGATAGCTTCTTAATTCTACTATGTGAACTGTGACATGACATTCCAGTATGTTGGCTATAACAATGAAAAAGTTCCATGCCCAAACCTTGCTGGATCTAGAAGAGCATGCTTGATTTTTCCCAGCCACACATCCCAGTCCCTGCCCCCAATTAGAACAGTAGTATTTCATAAGTTGTCTACATTGTGCTTGTCACACTATTGTATGTAGCAGTGCCTTTCTTCATAACCAGTGAATGATCAGTAGCTTCTCAGATGCTTTCAGGGACAGATAGGCACAAGAAGAGACAGATAGGCACAAGAAGAGATGATGAATAATGATGCTTTTCTTAATGACCTTCAATTTATTGAGAAAGCTGTCTTTTTAAAATAGTCAGGCATATTGTTCTGAGACAAAAATTGTCCTGAGAATTAAAATGCCACGGTACCAGTCATCCTTCACAGCTAAAGATGACACGTAAGCTTGATCACTAATTATGCCTTTAAATGTCACTTGTGTCTTTTAATTCCTGTCTAAAAGTATTGAATATAGCGTCTAAATGTTTTGAATTTAAAGGCTGAAATGGTAGTGGATAGCATGATGGAACAGGATTCAGGAGACCTGGGTTCATATCCCCACTTTGTTATGGAAGCTTACTTAGGTGGTGGCAGTAGTAAAACTATTCCTTGAACGTGTCACATACCTTTAAGACCATAGCAGGTTCGCCATAATTTGGATGTAACTTGATGGCACACAACATTATTATGAGAACTGAAAATATATAATTCCTTCTTTATTGAATTCAAAGGAGTACATTGGTGTTCAAAAACAGAATAAATTTTATGCACCAATTCAATAAAAGTCACTGTTATTAGCAGAATCTCTCTATGGCTGGGATAGTGAGGTGTACAATATGAACATAATTGTATGTTCATCTTGTGCACCGAGAAAGTGCCTGTGTCAATACTTACGCCTACCAGATGTCCTTACGTAGATGCAAGAAGCCTATTACATTTACCTGTGTGTTTGTAAAATCCAATACATGTGTGACTTAGTTTGCATGTATTATATTTTACAGAAATGAATGCGTAAATGTAAGAGGCCTCTTTTATGAGACAACATGGTGCAATCGGAATGGAGGAAGGAGGGAAGCATAGAACAGCTAACCTTTCTTAGCCTCATGCTTTACAGAGACACTAACACTGATGTTAGGCAAGAGATTATATGTTGCTTGGACAAGCGAAAGCATTTTACAACAATGAATTGTTTTTATCTTTTAAGGTGAAAATATTTCTGTAGACCTGATAAATATACTTTCAAAATTTTTCAGGTTTTATATTACATGTTACGTTGGTGTGAATATTGTCTATTATTGCTGCTTTTTTGTAAATGATTTAATCTCTAGTTATACACATTATATATAGTTCCTAATATATAGTAGGACCAAGGTATTTGTGGGGGGAACAGTTCCATGTCCCCGACTTTGTGGATGCCGGAAAGCACAGATACTGTCTAGAAACTATATACTATGTTTCCCAGAAAATAAGACAGGGACCTATATTAATTTTTGCTCCAAAAACACATTTAGGCTTATTTTGTGGGATATTTTTTTTTCATGAACAATAATCTACATTTCTTCTAATAAAGTCATGCCATCTTCTTCTGGTTGCTGCACAGTGGTGGACCACAGGGTTTCACTTAAATGGGGCTTATTTTTGGGGTAGGGCTTATATTATGAGCACCCTGAAAAATCATACTAGGGCTTATTTTCCAGTTAGGTCTTATTTTCTGGGAAATAGGGTATATCATAGTCTCTGGTTCCCTTTAGTGGCCAGTTCTGGTAATACAGCTTGGAAACACATATTTCGGCAGCGAGAGGGTTAATATTTTCAGGCAGTAGTTAAGTGAAACTGTGAGTACCAATCCCGTGGATACAGCGGTCCTACTGTACACATTTTTTGCAGCATTTGGAAGGATATGCTTTGCTTGCAGTATGATTTGCATTCAGTTGCTAACAACTTGTCTGAAACTCTCAAAGCTGCTGCCGAGAATAAAGCAGACAACATAGAAGCTAAAAATTCAATAAATGACACAGTATTAAAAAACAGTTAAACAGGTGTCATGTTAAAAAAACTAACGAATTTAGAAACATATTTTAAAAAATAAAAAGACATACCAACTCCTTTTCCCGAACCCTCTCACAGTCTGCCAAAAAAGAAAGTCTGCCAAAAAAGAAAGGTCTTTTACTTGTCAGCAGAAGGATGACAAAGAAGAGACCAGCCTGGTCTCCCATGGAAGGAAATTCTGCAGCATTGGAGCAGCAATGGAGAAGGCCTTCTTTTATGTTGTCCCTTAATGCACCTGTGAGATTGGTGGGACTGAGAAAACAGCCTCCGCAATGTACCTAAAGCCCCAGACAGGCCTATAATATGGAGATGCATTCATTCTAACAGCTTGGAAGCAAGCAGCTATATTTGCTACCATCTGTAATTTCCATACCATTTTAAAAGACAGTCTTGTATACAGTGTATTGCAGTAATTCATGTGGGTGGTTAACAGAGTATGTAGCACTGAGTATCGGGGGAAAGCTTACATCGTATTTATGAGATGAAGTCTGCAAAGTCTTAAGATGAACTATAAGAAAAACTCATTGAATCAATTGGCTTCGGTTTCATGGGCACTGTCCATGGTTCAGATTTTACCTTATGGTGCTAGGATAAAGAAATACACACAGCAGATTTGCATTTTGGAAAATATTAAAATTAAGCAGGTACCGAGACCTGTCTCACACCTTTAGTGAAACTCATAAGGTGAAGATGATTTTAGCTGGTGCACTTGATTTGAAAAATCTGCAATAGCTGCACTTTGTAGGTTTAGTTATAGTTGAAAACACTGTACCCTCAAAGAACAAAATCTTGTCTTCGTATAGCAGAAATTTTGAGCAGTTAGGATTCTGCTGATGAATGTCTAAATTAGGTGAAGTAAAGTTGGAAGATGGAAAACAGAATTTTTGTTGAGGATACAGTTCTTTTAACAATAGATAGCACTACACGAATTGTAAATAAACAATAAACATTCAAAATCTCTAGTATTTCTTATAATATTTATCTGCTGCTGGTAATTTATTCCAAAATTTGATATCTGAAAGTCTGCATTCTACCTCAGGATTAAAAAGCACTGTCATACTATCCATATTTCTTTGGCAATGAAGCCAGTGAAATATGTCTAGACTTAGTTTTTAGGTTCAGAATTGTATTCAGACATACTTTCTTCCAAGATAGACTGTAATTGCAATGTGTAACAAAATTATACATCTTTCTAAGATATTGAATTTGTAAATCAAAGATAGTTTGTACGAAAAATTAGTGTAGCGTGCACAATATATGCTCAGTGCCTCCTGTAGAGATGTTTGCAATAGCTTGCACAGCATTTGATAGGAAGTTATACTGGAATGTACATTTTATCTGAGGACACTGTCTATATCAGGTGTCTCAGGCTTCAGCATATATCAGATGGCCAATGTATCAGCCTTGTTGTTCTTTCTTCCAAAGATATCTCCTTTCCCCTTTTGTACTTCTTTAAGGATTTTTTTAAAATATAGACTTTTATATGAAATCTGACTTGAGCAAGGGATGAGCATTATACCAGAGTTGAAGTCTTCATCAGGTTCATTTCAAAACAGTTTGTTAAAATTAGAGTTTGCCACAGCCCCCACTCCTGTTCTAAATGTTCTTGTAAGATCTACGTTTTGACGAGGCTGTCATCACGAAAGTGCTTTTCACTGGCAACCCTGAGTATGTTGTGAATTGCTTATACTTCTTTGCACTAAAAGCAAATTGAGTCAGAGACAGATTGTATTTTGGTTAGTTGCTTTTAATTTTAAAAGTAAAGAACAATCTCGATACATGGAAAAGAAGAAGTGTTAATCTTTAAAGCAAACTACATTTTAAGGCTGAATTTTTTTTTGCTTCTCCCTTTTTTTTATGAGATTAAGAGCTCTCTGAAAATCAACCTTTGAAGAATAATTATTTAATCAATGTTGTACTGAAGTAAAATTCTCAGTAATATTGATGGTCCTTAATTGCATTCTAAATGGTTTTCCAGTGCAAGAGGTTCTTTTATGATGTGTTAGATAATATTCAGCCTTTTCTTTCAGGATGAGTTCTTGAAAACATATATCAAAATGTTCATGATATGTCTAGAAGTCTTCATTGATGTATCTGCTATATTATGTGGGGTTTGTGTTTTTTTTTTCTGTAGGCCTGTATTTAATTTTCTTGACAGCTCCATATTTGCAAAAACAGGACACTGTTTTGTTTTAAATCTAAACATCTGTTTCTCAGAATGTTTTCAACATGCAATACAGTTCTTACTTTTCTTGTATATTTGAGGCTATGACAGTTTGTGTTGTATGATTCTAGCATATAATGAGTTATATCCAGAGTAAATTTTTCATACCTGGAGTAGATGCATTGGAAATTACGTTAATCATGAAATAAGTGCAATGAATCTCAGTGGGCTTACTTTTCAGCTTACTCTTTAGCAGCTTGCCTGGTAAAGATCATTTTGAATCTGGTGTTCTTAAAACAAACAGCATTTTACTATGGATATTTTGCTCAGGATTTTATTTCTATTATAAGAATTTCTTGTTAACATTGGATTAAAGCCATTATCTTAATAGATTTTACATTTTGGCTCACATAAAATACTTCAGGTTGGAGTTCATAAGATACTCACCTATTCTTCCTTGATGATATTTAATCTGTTGATGGGCAAGGCACACATGGGTCAGCATATTTTTCATAGTGGGTTGATTGAAGGATGAAACTTTTCTGTCTGAAACCTGACACTAGTGTTTCTCTCTTCATTTGCTACGTTTGCGCAAACAGTGTGACACCATCACCTCAACAGGTTCGTGTCTGTCCTCCCCAAATGTTCTCTGAAGATGGATCTAATCTTTACTCTGCTCGGGGCATTTTGTCGCTTATCCAGTCTTCTACCCGTAGGGCTTACCAGCAAGTCTTGGATGTGCTGGATGAAAATCGCAGGTGACTGGCCATCACTGATTCTGCCCAGTTTACTGCTTTTTTTACTTCACTTTCATTTCTTGGTTAATTGATTTTGATTTGTTTAAATTACATGGGAGAAAAATTAACATGTTTCTTGCTTTCTGTTGCTTTTGCTGTTTGTGAATCACATTTCCAAAATTCACGTTTCATAGGACTTTAGTTATCTTATTTCTTGATCAGAGGAAAGTCAAGGAGTCAGTTAAAAATCCTGTCTCTTTCTTAGAGCAGAAGGGGATCAAGATGTAGCAAATGCAGCTGTACAGTCCAGACAAAGTGCAGTCTCTATGACCTGCCAAGTTCAATGGGAACATTATTACATATTCTTTTTAATCACAATTGAGAATACAGTATATTTCAATACCAAAATGATTTCAAAAAAGCTAAATATTGGTGGCCTGTTAATATTGAGGCAAATACAGATGAAAAGTACATACTGATAATTCATGTAAGTTGAGTGCTGTCTCCAGTTGTTGTAATTCTTGATGGAGAAAATGCAGTAATTTAATCCTGATAAGGAAGCTTCAGATACAAATTGTAAGAAAAACTGGATGAAGGAACCTGTGCAGCATGGAAGTAGGTTTTTCAAAAGTCTCTTAAGTTCTTGTCAGTCCACTAAATATTGGAGGGGGATGAGATACTAATCTGCAACTTAAAGCTTTAGTTGTTTAACTAGTCAGATGACCTGTTTATGTAAGAGCCAGGTGATTTTTAAAAATCCACACAACCCCCCCACCCACATTGCTTCTCAGAGTACACTTAGTTTTAAATCCAGTTATGTCATCCTCCTCCTGTGTACCCAGACATCCCATCAGATGGTAGGTGTAAATATTTGTTGGACCCTTAGTGAAAGATTTATGAGATTACTCTCAAGAATCGTAGACACACTATAGTATTTTATTCCTGTTTCACAATCATAGGCCCTATGCTCTCTGGACAGCCTAGAGTGGTCCTCGCTTGACCAGATAGGCGGGATAAATCAGGTTGACCTGCTTACTCTTTCTCTACATTTTGAACATATACTGTTTATCTATAGCACTCTCCAGTAAAAAGTCCTCTTGTCTGCAACTTTTCCCTTAAACAACTGGAGTTGGCAGGCACTTGACAGGATCTTGAAGGGTGTTTTTCCTTGCAAGTGATTACAGTGTGGAAGAAATGAATCAAATCAGTTTGTTGCCTAATTTCCTTATACTAATCTGGAGAAACTATCATAGGTTACTGACTTTGGCATTCTTCTCTTTTCTTCCTTCCCAGTTTTTGACTGCTAATTACCAGAAAGAGCACATTTCCTTTTTTCCCCCATGTATTTTATTTCTGGCACTACAAGCCTGAACTCCCTATTTGAAAAGATCTGCTGTTGATTCTGTTATAACATATATTTGTCATATTAACTCTTCCTTACAGTTTTTAAGCTTAATATATGCGCAGAACACAGCATGATCAGGGGCTGTTCATGTGTCACCATTGGAGGCAATTTTGTTTGCTTGTCCTTATTAAAGAAAAGAAGACTAAGGAGAGCTATGACAGGAGTTTTCAAATACTTGAAAGATAGTAATAAAGAGGAGGGGATAGATCTGTTCTCGATCATACCAGAGCACAGGACACATTGCAATGGGCTTTTTAACTGGTAGAGAAGTATGACAATAGAACCAATTGCATCAGGAGGTGGAGTGTAGTCCAGTGCTGGAGGCATTCAAGAGAAAATTGGACAGTCCTGTGTCAGATCTACTTTGATTTGGATTCCTGCACTTAGCAAGAGATTGATAACATTATAGGCCTCTTCCAACTCAATTATTCTATAGTTATACAAAAGTACTGTATATCCTGTTTTTCTGTCTTAATGGTTCCACCCTGGATGATTGCAGAAAGTGGAGAAAAAAGTTTAGCATGGTGATAAAGTCCACAAATATACATTTTTTCACTGAAAAATTAAAGCTAGCAAATCCTCTCTGCCTTATAAGTGAGTTATTAAATTATCAATTGATTTATATATGCAATGATTATCCATTGCTTTTCTCTCATAGTTCTTCTCAGTATAGATCTTGGCAATGTTCATTTAAAAATTCTGACCTGAAGTAAGCTTTTATAATTTGCATAGGAATGTGAAATTTGGAAAATGTATCACTTGCATGGCTACACAATGCTGCTCATTTTATAGTATTTCAAACTATATAATTGCTTTAAATGTAAGGAAAAATATTTCTTTCTGTGACTGAATTTTGTTTTTTATGTCCTACAGCTTTAAATTTAAGATTTTTGTTCTCTTTTGTTTTTTCCCTTTTTGGGAATATTTACTTATGCCTCATTCTTCCATTCCCCAAAGGGTTACACAATTACTGTATGTTGTACTGTTTGAATAAAAATGCTTATTTTAACACAAAGGTAAACTAACTCTCCTCTATTTTAAAATTCCTCCCTTCCCTCTGGGAGAAATTATTGGTAATGTCTAAGTAAATACTAATACTCCAGAACGAGTATGCTATAGGTGCACATGAGAACGGTATGTATTTCCTCTGCATGAGAGCTTTCACCTAATTATTTGTGATACTATATAAGTATTATCTGAGTGGAGCTTTGGAAAATATGCCTGTCCTGAAAAAGTATTCACTGAGCTGTGTGATAGAATTAAATTATTCCTTGTCCATACTGTCTTCTGTAATTCATTTTATCTAGGTTTGACAACAGAAAGATGTCAGTTTAACTCCCCCCACAAAACGGTAGTTTTATTTAGTGCACCTAGAATAAAAAGTATAGTAAATTTTGTACTTTGGCAGTATTTACATTGTACTTTCTTAATTCTTTAATTGTAATTAGTGTGCAGTATCCAACTCTGGAACATTGCACACAGAACAGGGGATTCCAGCAGAATTTGGTGGTAAATAATCCCCTTCCCTGCTGAATCACTGCATTACAGTGGGGTCTCGACTTAAGAACTTAATCCGTATTGGAAGGTGGTTCTCAAGTTGAAAAGTTCTTAAGTCGAATCTGCATTTCCCATAGAAATGCATTGAAAACCATTTAATCCGTATCTGCTCTTTTCTGTCCATAGAAACTAATGGGAAGCTGCTATTCTGCCTTCTGCCACTAGAGGGGGATATTTTCTTCCTTTTTTCCCCTTAGGTTCAGGGAAGGCAGGGAACACTAAAGGCAGCACTTTAGAACTCTTTTTTT